ATATATAGATTTATATATATATAGATTTTATTGAATATTTACATACAATATATATATTAAAATATTTCTAATTCATATGCATGTAATCATATTGAAGAATTTTATAATAATTGTAAAAAAAACTATTTTTTTTTAACACATAATTAATACATTATGTAAAACATTCCAGTATCGTAGTTTAAAACTAGCAAATGATTATTATTGTTTCTATTTTTTAGTTAATATTATATTTTTTGTGTAAAAGATATTTAAAATTTTTTGACTTACTAATTTTCTTTACCTTCATAATAATTTATTTGCTTGGGCCTTTTAGTAAAGATAAGAATATGAATATTGATATTTCTATTGATATTTCTAGTTATATCAACAATATTAATTGATATTTACTTACTTCAAATTTCAACGTAGCATCAGCTGGAATCAATGGTGGACTACCATTCTTGCCATAGGCATATTCAGGAGCACAGGTCAACATAGCAATCTCACCCTTCTTCATGGTAGCAACGCCAATGTCCCATCCTTTGATGACACTATTATTTCCGAGATTAAATTTGAACGGCTTATCCTTGTTTCTGCTGGAGTCAAATTTGGTGCCGTCCAGTAAAGTACCGGTGTAGTGGACCTTTACTCTGCAACCACTCGTAGGGGTCAAATCTCCTTCTCCTTCCTTGATGATTTCCTTCAACACACCGCGGTCCTGTGCAGGAGATAAATCTACCTCGGCCATCTCTGTGAGTGAAAAAGACAAAAGGATTATTAAACCAAAAGGCTTTTTCTACAATGTCTACGATGCGATGATACACCGATAACGACTTAATCGAGTCTGGCCGAGTTTGGCGCTGTTATGTTGGGAATCGTTCCACGCCGAACTTTCTCGAAATGTTAATGCACGAATATTAATGACGAGAGGAAATGACTCTGCAAGATGCGCGCGTGTTTACGGATTAATTATGTGTGACAGTATTAAAATCAAAAATACGTACTATTTGCGAAAATGGGATGCGTTCAGATATACGCAGTGAAGGATCTCGTTCGAATTGAGCAATCTTCCAACACGCGTGCCGGCTGATTCGAAATAATCGTGTGGTCGACTCTTCACAATCGTACACCGGTGCAAATCAATTTTATGGAATTTGCTAGAAAACTTGGTACATTTTTCCGACGGTCGATATTCTTTTCGATCCACATTTCCAAATTTCTTCACCGGCCGTTTGTAAATGAGGTAAAATTTACATTGACGATTTCTACATTACCGATTGCCGCTCTAAAAGATTTCTACATTATCAATGCAATGTAAGATTTTCTGCGCATCATCGATTCCCGCTCATTTTTACTAACTGCAGTGTTTATATACATGGGCGTAACCAGGATTTTATTTATAGAAGGCTAAATAGAATTGTGATTTTTGGGGAAGGGCCGTAATCGAGTAATATAGATTAGTGGATGTACAATTTTGTTTTATATTATTTTTTAAAATTAATTACTGACAGATAAATCACAAAATTACACATATTTAATTTATTAATGCACTTTATTTTTCTCTTAAAATTGTTAACTGATTCTTCGAACTAGAAAAGCTTAAATTTATAATACTAGCCATTTCGGAAAGTCTCAGAAAATTTTTCCATAACTTTCACTTCTAATTCTTTCTTCTTTTCTGAAATTAATTTCTTATAAATACTCATTAAACATAGTCCGTTTAAGCGGTTTTAAATATTTTTATTCTTTAAGATCTGAAGGGGAGGACAACCTCTAAGTCCCATGTTGGCTACGCCAATATTTATATTTATAAAAGAAAATCGTTAGACTGTTCGCATTGCTTGCACTTTCTGTATTCAGCATCTTCTCTTTCTCTTCAACGCCCGAATATGTATATAATTTATCTCATTTTAAGTGCAAATATTTTTAGGAATTTCAAGCAATATAAACAGACCTAATAGTTGTTTTCAGCAAAAAGAGCAGCTTTGCAACTGTAAGATTTTTTAATGATTGATCTTGCCCTTCATTCTTCATTGGATCTGAATATATAATCATATTAAGCCAATCTGAGCTTTCTCTGTTGAACACAACCATTTATCAATTTGATAATATAATGCATTTATTTGTACAGTAACGATATTTAATTCAATATTTCTCTTTGTTATTGACACATTTTATTTCGGCCATTAAAATCTGTGTACGTCAGCAGAAGGAAGCCAAAATAAAATCTCATTATATACATATTGTAAATTATTGATTACATAATTGGTTTTTTTATCGTCTTTTCATTCCCACTGTAATAAATGTCTCCTGGAAATCTGCGCGATTATGCACAAAAATCGACTTTGATCGACTTGAAAGTCTATTTCGGTGTTCGTTGGTGAAGATTTCGAGCGATATCATCCTCATCTGTCCTCATCGTCATTCTCGTCCATTAACTTGCGAACGAAACGACGCGTCTTTAATTTTACGCAGTTGGACCAATAGGAAACTCTTTTTACCGGAACGTCTCATGTATCGACGAATCGCCGTAAGGCGTTTTCATTCGACGCTGGCGCGTCTCATATCAAGCGATTACGCAGTACACACGTTGAGTGCGCCATATTTTCGTTCCGCGCGCTTTATACTGCGATTATGGCGAACGTCCTGTTGCCGCGTTAAGAGCATTTCGTGAACAAGTTAAAGTGAGGGATAAAGTTCCATTGAATATAGTGGCCGAGACTGCCAAGAGGTTGTTGGAGACGGTCGTTGACGGATCGTGCATCGTATTTCGTGTCATATTCACACTCCGTTCGCAATCGGACGGAGCAGCACTAAAAGGTTATTAATGACGAAGTGCGGGAGCCCGCCTGAGCCCGCTACGGGAATACGAACAACGTATTGAGGAGCGTTGTTAATTATCGAACTTGTTCCTGAACCGGCTACGCGAATCGCTGCGACCATCGGAATGATGTCTACTAAGCAGGAGGCACCAAACATGGCTGAGCGTTGTCGAATTTGTCTAGTTGACCAGGGCTGCATGACTAATCTGCAAGACGAGCGTTTGGAAGCCAAACTCAAGGATTTGATCAGGTGCACTCATATCGATGTGGGTCCCCTTTTTTGTATTTCATTGGTTTCTTCTGTCAAATTGCACGTTTGATTGAATATTTATGCTTGTTTACAGATCAAGTATGATGAAAATCTACCAGGGGTTGTGTGTCATGTATGCTTGTACAAGCTGAATATGTGGAGTGAGTTCAAAGAACAGTTTATACAATCCAACAAATCTCTGGAGCAACTAGATATGTGGGAAGAGTCTGAAGATAACACTGTAAGTTGATGCAATATTTTTTTTAGATTTATTTTTTTCTACCTTAAGTTCTGAATTGATATATACTGCTGCAATAAAGTACAGCTATAGCTGAGACAACTATAGTTTTATTTTAAAGGCCATTACAGGTATAAAAATTTTAATCATAATTGTAAGGCAATCGATCAATCAGTCGAGTGTTTTAAAATACGAGATTGTAATTTTGATTGTGATGAATCGATTTGCTTGCGATCTTATGATTACGACTAAAATTTTTATATGTCTAATGGCCTTAATTTAATGAATTATTTCACAACTAATTCAGAATTTTTTAAAAAAGAACAAATAGTTTTATTGGCTTTTAAACCTAGTTTATAATATTTTTGCTTCCTGCTTCTTTTTTTTCTTTTTATTACTGTTTTTATCAACAATTATCTTGTCATATGTTTTTGGTCTCTTCTATCAAAGTTTATCAACTTTTATCTTGAATAATATAAAATGAGAAAATAAAATAAGAAGTGAAAAAACAAGAAGTGAAAAAACAAGAAGTAAAAATTGGAAAACAAGAAACAGGAAGCAAAGAGTAAATTGTAGATTAGATTTTTGTCACTTTAGCGCTTTACATTTTTTATTTTCATCTTAGATTGAAGATCCTTTGAAGGATAGCAGTTATACATCAAAAGATGCAGAAAGGAAACATAGAAACAGCCAGGATAATAGTATTGAGAAGGTATTTTTATATAAATTTGATAATATTATTGATTCTATATTTTGTAATATTTTCTTATATATATATATATTTATATTTTATACATTGCTCAACGTAATTAAAGGTCACCTTCCACTTTGCAAAAATAGACAAATTTCAAGATAGAAGAATTATCAAAAATCATTGTATCAGAATGTTTGAAAAATATTTTACAACTTCTGTTTTTTAAGATCGGTACTTTAGGAAACGGCCTTATTGACATTTTATGAAGTTACAAACATAAAATGTATCATATTTCAAAATTTTTCACAAAATTTGGGAAGTTCCACGGCAAATTGAAAATTGTATAAATGCGGTTTACAGCATTCGAAAAAATGAATCTTTATTTTTATTTTTTATTAAGTTTTGTACAATCATTTTTCATCGAGTTATTCAACATCGGAGCAAAAAAAGTTGTTTTTGTTCAATGTTGAATAATCCAGTGAAGAAAAATTATACAGAGATGATGCATCTTCATTTATGTTGTGTATATTATATATAAAATACAGTAAAATTTCCATAAAATATCAGTTTTCTAGGCCGTTTTCTAAAATAGCGATCTGAAAAGTACAAATGATGAAAAGTACAAATTTCAAGCTGTAAAATGCTTTTTAAATATCTCGATGTGATGATTTTTTATGAAGTTCTTCTATCTTAAAATTTGCTATTTTTACAGGGTGGAACAGATAATCATTCAATTTTGTTGAGTAGTGTATATACAGGATGTTCCCGACCAACAGGATCGTCTCTTGTGAACAAGTAGAGCGAAATTGAGACGAAAAGTCCTTTATCATTTTTGTAAAATTTTAAAAGATATTAATTTTTCAAAATCACTGAATAAGTATATATTCGCGCAAATTACTGTCAAGTATACGTCTATAGGTCGTGATTGCTCCACTTAACCTGTAGTTCAGTTCGCTCTATCTACTCAGGAGAGATGACTCCGTAAGTGTGTGTGTACACACACACACACACACACACACACACACACACACA